AAAAGAAAGAAAGAAAGAAAGAAAGAAAGAAAGAAAGAAAGAAAGAAAGAAAGAAAGAAAGAAAGAAAGAAAGAAAGAAAGAAAGAAAGAAAGAAAGAGAGAAAGAAAGAGAGAAAGAAAGAGAGAAAGAAAGAGAGAAAGAAAGAGAGAAAGAAAGAGAGAAAGAAAGAGAAAAAGAAAGAGAAAAAGAAAGAGAAAAAAGGAAGAAAAACTGCATAAAATAATAATTTTGTTAGGTCTATTTTATGACAATGTGAGGGGAAGCCAGTAGTAGTGTTCAAATCATGTTAATTTGGTGTAGAAACCAGGGCACAGGAAACACGTGACCCCTGAGAGAGTTCAACGTTGAACCGGTAGAATCTTACACACACACCACATTGCACATTGGCAGGATCCCCCGTTGCCAGCATCCAAGCCCCACACGGTAAGTCACAGCCTCTGGCTTCCCACTTCCCCTCCAACGAGCCCGGCAGTGTGGAACTTTTGGACTCTTTAAGTATGAAGCCTGAATTCTGATCTCTTCCTCTCTCTAAGCCTCAGAGAGGATCCCCAGAGGGAGTACCTCCATCAAAGCTTCGGAAGCTCATGTTTTTTGTCCCCAGCCCACCAACCTGGCCCCGCCTTAGTGACTGTTTCCTGTTTTTTGCTTTCTTCCTTCCCTTCCCCCTCTGGGTGGCATCCATGTAGGTGACAGATTTAGAAACATAGCCCTGGCTGGCCTGGAACTCCCAGAGCTTGCCTGATTCTACTCGGGAGTGCTGGGATTGGAGACAAGACGCGGGCCACCATACCCAACAGGGCCATGTCTTTCTTACCCTCAGGTCCACATGGGCTGTGACCTGGAAAGGGACAGTCCCTTCTCTCTCTTTCTCTTTCTCTGTCTCTCTCTCTGTCTGTCTCTCTTGCTTTTTTGAGACAAGGTTTCTCTGTGTAGCTCTGGCTGTCCTGGAACTCACTCTAGACCTTGAACTGGACTTGAACTCAGAGAGATCCTCCTGCCTCTGCCTCCTGGGATTAAAGGTGGGTGCCACCACTGCCATCCAGTCCCCTTCTCTCAAGTGAGCACCGTGGTACTCTTCCTGAGAACCATGCAGTCAGAGACAGGAGATGTCGACGCCGTGGCCCACATTCCCACCACGCCTCCTCTTCCTTATAGATATTCAGGAATTTTCTGCTTTGTATTCTTTTTTGTTTGTTTGTTTGTTTGTTAACTCATTTAATTCACACAACAACTCCATGAAGGAGATGTTATCCTGAATCCCATTTTACAGATGGGGGAGTGGACACAGAAAGAGACTGAATGGTTTGCCTAAGGTCACACAGATGGTAGGAAGTGAACACGTGTTTCCTGAGTCTTGGCACAAAAGTTCCTCCAGGACTCATGCATATCTAAGAGGACTGTGAATTACAGGGAGAGATCTTCTTAGCTCAGGGCTGGAGGGATGGCTCAGCGGTTAAGAGTACTTGTTGCTCTTGCAGCGGATGGGAGTTCCGTTCCCAGTGGAACTAAGTGGTGGCTCAGGACCACCTTACCTCTGGGACAGCCAACACCCTCCTCTGGTCACAAACACAAAATATACAAAATAAGTCCGTTTTTATTCGGCTTTACAAGATAATATTGTTCTCCAGGGAACCAGTATACTCTCCCATTAGTAATTGTAAAAGTTTCTATTGACCTATAACTTCTCCAAAAATTGACCTTTAGACTTCTTAATTCTGCCAACGTAGTGGGTGTGGTTTTCGTCTTAATTTCTGTCAAGTGACAAGTAATCTCCTCGTTCCTTTGACACTGCTTTGTGGATTTGATGCACTCGGTGATGATTTAATGTTTATTTCCCAGCCTGGGAATGGAACCCAGGACCTGTGCGTGCCTGGGAAATATGGTGTGTGCACCTCGAGCTGCGTCCCCAGCCCCTGTTGTTGATGATTGACAGTCTCGCAGTCTTGCCTAATACCCTACCCCAATGACGTAATAGTTCCGATATTTTCTTGTCAATGTCCCTAACGTTCTCCTTCGCACATAACGACTCACTGTGAGTAAAATCGGGTTCTCCAATGGATGCCCCCTCCCCATCGGGTTAATCGACTGACTCAGACCTTTCTTTTATGCAGCCATCCAGTGCCACCACTGACAGGTGTTCGCCAAGTGTGTTTCTAGACCCTAGAAACTGGGACCCACTAATTAATCTTCCTATACCCATATTAATATTTTATATTGAATCTCAATACTCAAAGAGCAAATTGCTTATCTTATTCTTTCCACGTGTCTTGATCTTTCCACAAACACTTTATGATCAGCTTTCAAGTTCCATGGACAACCTTATTGGGATTAACTGGAATTGCATTGAATCCGCATATCAGTTGGGAAGGAAATTATCTTTCTTTTCTACTTTATTGCATTTTATTTTGGGGGGCACATGCAGCACACATGCAGAAGTCAGATGACAGCCTGTGGGGTCCATTCTCTCCTTCTCCCACATGGGTCCCAAGGGTCAAACTCAGGTCGTCAGCCTCTAAGTGAGCCGTCTCAGCAACCCCCACTCAAATGACTTATTTATTCTCAAATTAAGTCTGAAAAGTTAATTTTTCTAAGATTTGGTTTACTTTGTTCCATATTTTATGGCACACATTGTTTTATAGTGTCCTTTATTTTTTATTATTGGGCAAGGGGGTTGAGAGTAGCCCACATTGGCTTCAAACTCACCATCCACCTGTCTCAGCCATCTAAGTGGTACTGGGATTATACATCTGGTTTTTATTTATTTGTTTGTTTGTTTTTTGAGACAAGGTTTCTCGGTGTAGTAACAGCCCTCGCTGTCCTGGAACTCACTCTGTAGACCAGGCTGGCCTTGAACTCAGAGATCCACTTGCTTCTGCCTCATAAGTGCTGGGATTAAAGTCATGGGCCACCACCACCACCCAGCTTATTTTTATCTTTATTTATTTATATATTTTTTTTGTTTTTTTTCAAGACAGGGTTTCTCTGTGTTGTTTTGGTGCCTGTCCTGGATCTCGCTCTGTAGCCCAGGCTGGCCTCAAACTCACAGAGATCTGCCTGGCTCTGCCTCCCGAGTGCTGGGATTTGTTTATTTATTTTTCAATCAAGCACATTCAATTGTTCTGAAACTAATCTTCGGAACCAATCTTACAAAATGAAACTACCCTTAAGAAAACTTATATGGGGTTGGGGATTTAGCTCAGTGGTAGAGCGCTTGCCTAGCAAGCACAAGCCTCTGGGTTTGGTCCTCAGCTCCGGAAAAAAAAAGAAAAGAAAGAAAACTCCGACTTCCCTTCCCAGCCGCTGGCAGCCTCCCTTCTCCCTTCTCTTGTGTGAGCATCTTTTTATAACTCTGCTGTGATTCCGTGCTTGTTCTGGTCATGGCTGTTTGCTTTCTTTTTGAGCCTTGTCCGGAAGTTTCCTCTGGCCCTTCTGCTGTCTGGCCTGTCCCTCCCAAGGGTCTCCAGGGAATCTGACCCTCACAATGGCCCTTTGCCCCTGCTCTGGTGGGCTTCATCAGCTATCACAGCTGCCTGTCACTCATAGGGACTTCACTCTTTCCTAGGTATGTGGCCTTGATCAAACCACTCAGCCTCTCAGTGCCTCAGTTTCTCCTTCTAGGAGATGAGAACAGTAGGAATACTTGAGCTTGTAGAGTTTTGGAGAAATTAGTTAATAATTATAGAGTGCTTTGACAGTGCCCAGCATGAAGTAGGTACAGCTGATGCCCTGAGACAACATTTCGGTCAGTGATGAGTCACCCGCACAACAGAGGTCCCAGAAATTACAGTAAAGCTAGAAAGTCCACACCATTGGAGACCTCATAGCCTCATAACACTGTAACACATTGTCTCCAGACCCCTGGTGGCAGTATGTCAACCTACTTACTGTACTGCAGCTGCATTCAAGTGCGGCATGGACAACTACGTGCACGAAGTACCATCCAGGTTTGTGTGGACACACTACGATGCTCACACAACCACAAATTGCCTGGTGACGAATTTCTCTGAGCCTGAACTACAAAGTGAGCTCAAGGTCAGGGTGGACCACTTAGTGAGACCCTGTCTCATAATGAAAGGCACCAAGAGAGCTGGGGATGCAGCGCTGAGCACTTGCCTAGCCTGTTCGAAGCCGCAGCATCTCAGTCACCAGCACCCCAAATGGAAAAAGAACTTGTTCCTTCCCTAAGGAAGGCCTGTCTGCGTTGCTGTATTATTATTACCACTATTTTTTTTTTTGTTTTTTTGTTTTTTTGAGACAGGGTTTCTCTGTGTAGGTTTGGAGCCTTTCCTGGAACTCACTCTGTAGACCAGGCTGGCCTCGAACTCACAGAGATCCTCCTGCCTCTGCCTCCCGAGTGCTGGGATTAAAGGGGGGCGCCGCCACCACCACCACCACCACCACCCGGCTTTATTACCACTATTGTTGTTGTTATTATTATTTTATTTTATTATCCAGAGGAGGTCAGTCTCCACTGTATCACCCAGACCCTTCCAGGCGTCCTCTCCTGTTCTCAGCACTCTGTCAGCCTCATGTGAGATCAGACCCCCCTGACCCCACCCCCCTTCCCCTGACTTCTCTCTGCTTACTCTGTCTTCCCCTCCCTTCTGGAATGATCTCAAAGCCTGGCAGCCTCATGCAGGGACTTCCCTGGGTCCAGGCTGACATCATCTGCACTGGAGGAGAGCTGTACAC